ATAAGAAATGTACATTTTCCTTAAAAAATTTTAATGACTTATGATGATGTATGTAGAATCATTTTAAAGCATTCATATACAAAATGAGAATTAATCGTTTCCCAGACATCATAATATATTATTTAAATAAATCACAGAAAATCGAAATGCAATATTAATATAAATACATTCTCATTATTTTTCAAAATCTGAAATAAAATGTTACAGATTTTTAATAATAGAAATTTTAAACGTGCTTTGAATGACTTTTAACTTTTATTTTCATAGTTGTCCTCACTAGCGCCAGACATTTAAGGTATCTTGTGATTTTTCTTTTAATCCAATTTTAAAACATGACTGTTGAGAGTTACGTTTCCAATATACATTTGGAAATATTTAAAAAATTGGAAGACGTAAAAACACTAGTCGTACCTGGAGGTTCAAGATGCAAATTGATATTTCAAAGACTTGATGGATAAAGGCAAACACCAGCAGAGCACTTCATCACAAGACTGTCAATGGAAAGTCACCTGAATATAACATCTGATGACTAGGGAGATATACCCAAAGTCATTAGGTTGTCGAGTTTTCATGTCTCAGTACTGTGCCACCTCCTGCATGACAATCACATTCCTCCCATGCTTTCTGTGTAGGAATGAAATCGAAGCAAGACCTGAGCACCCCCAACTACTTATCAGGAATTCTTCTTTCACTTCTTGACATACTTTCGGGTATATCTCAGGTTGAGATCAGGGAGGATATACTTCGAATGGACTTCTTTCCCCCCTAATTTATCATATCCTCTGTGACTCAAACCTGGGCCATCAATAGGGAACAAAGACAACAGATTAAAGGGAACGGAAACAGCAAGAAGGCGGAGGTTTTTATTACCCAAGAGGCTATATATTTTTTAATGGGCCATTTGTGGTTATATACTCCCATTTAGCTAGTTACCACCTCTCTAGTTACCATCTCTCTAGTTACAATTATTTTAATTAGTGGAAATCGTTTTAATCACAATTGAAGGCCAATTGAAAAATGAACATTTTAGGCTCTTCTTAGCAGTTGAGATGAAATCTGGACTCAGAAAGACCCCAATTTCAGTCTGGTCATATACTCCTCCACATATTCACACAACAACTGAGAAAGTTGCTTAGTGCCAGTGTGCCTCTGTGTTGAGAACTATAACTGAGGATAACCATACTTCATGGGATCACTGCGAGAATTCAGATGCTCATCTTGGGCCTTACACTTCAAGCGTGATTATTGTTACAATTACTTCTCAGGGCACCACCAATTACAACTGAAGTCCAGGGTCCCAGTCGCAGTGCAGAAGATCTGCAGTTCTTGGTCACCTTTTGCTAACTTTTGGTCACCTGTCCAAGATCTCCCTTCTCACTCAAAGATGTCATTCTCCTCTGAAAGTTTTCCTCCTTCTTCACCACAATCCGTAAAACTAGGGGAGACCTTTATTGCTAATCATTTGATTCAAGTTATTCACACCAAAGGATGAATAAAACTTAGCAGAACTTTTGGCCTTTTTCAATGCCCAGATAATCTATAATGAGATATTGGGGAAGTTCTTCTCTGTGTGTAAGGGAAAGTGCCTCTACCTTAAAAAATTAGTAACATAGTACCTAAACATAATGATGAACTATTTACCAGGATAATTTTAACTTTTTCATATTTTCTATATAAAGAGTTCTTTTTAGACACAAATGTAACCAAATGAATAGCTGTCAAAAGAAACTTAATCTATAAATGCTACAATGTTTTGTAAATTTTACTGAAGTTGCTCTTTTATTCTCACAGGAAAAAGGTTTCAAAAGGACAAGGATCTGGTTTTTTTCACGGATATGTCTGAAGCTCTAGAATAGTACCTGGTACATAGTGGATGCCCAATAAGCATTTGTTGAAAGATTAGAGCAACACATCATCAAACTCCTGCTCTTCTTTAGCAACTTGCATAGGGAGGAGGGTATATCTCAGTGGTAGAGCTCATGGTTAGCATGTACAAGTTCCTGGGTTCAACCCCCAGTACCTCCATTAATAAGTAAACAAAAACCTAATTACTTTGCCCCCAAAAAGTAAAAAAATAAAGAAACTTGCATAAATAAATAAATACAACCACACTTTGATTTATTTACAAATCACACAAAAGTGATATGTCCCTAGCACTGTGTTTATGGGGGCATCCTCTGGCAATTAGTCCTAAGTTTTCATTTGGACTGTGTGACCCAAAGTAAATCAATTTCTCTGTGCCTCAGATTCCCCTTCTGTAAAAGGGGCATACTGCTACCTCATAGTATTGTTATTATAATTACATAAGTTACTGAATGAGTAAAGGGCCCACAAAAATTCCTAAGGTTTGGAGAGAGTGTGGAGAAAAAGGAACCCTTCTACACTGTTGGTGGGAATGTAAATTGGTGCAGCCTCTATGGAAAACAGTATGGAGGTTCCTTTGAAAACAAAAAATAGAGTTACCATATGATCCAGTAATCTCATACCTGGGCATATATCTGGAAAGATGAAAACTCTAATTTGAAAAGATACATGTACCCCAACATTCACAGCAGCACTATTTACAATAGTCAAGAAATGGAAGCAACCTAAATGTCCATCAACAAGATGAAGGGTTAAAAAACATGTGAGATATATACATAACACACACACACACACACACAATGGAATATTGCTCAGTGAACAAAAAAGAATGAAATAATGCCATTTGCAGCAACATGGATGGACCTAGAGATTATCATATTAAGTGAAATAAGTTAGGCAGAGAAAGACAGATATCACATGATATCTCTTATATATGGAATCTAAAAAAAAAAGACACAAATGAACTTATTTACAAACCAGAAATAGACTCACAGATATAGAAAACAAACTATAGGTACCAAAGGGGAAAAAGGTGGGGGAAGGAATAAATTGGGAGTTTGGAATTAACATATACACACTACTATATACAAAATAGATAAACAACAAAGCTCTACTGTATGATACAGGGAACTATATTAAATATTGTAATAACCTATAATGGAAAAGAATCTAAAACATAATTATATACATATAATATGTTATATATATACATACACACACACATAACCAAATCGCTCTGCTGTACATTCGAAACTAACACAACATTGTAAATCAACTATACTTCAATAAAAAGAAAGAAAGAAAGAAGCTGCTTCCCCACAGCGCCATATTAAATAAAATTACCCTTTTTCCTCAACTCCTATGAGGCCCCACTAGTCCTGTTTCTGGACCTCCATGAAAGCCTGCGTATATTTTTAAAAATTCCTTGCATAAAGTAAGTACTCAATAAATGTTGGATGTTTTATTAATACCTCAAATTTCACTGAGGGAAGGCTCTGAGGTCCGTGAGGCAAATGCTAGCCAGAGGTCCCATAGCGAGAACTAAACAGCTACGGTTCAGGCCAGTCTATGAAAAAGGGAGATAAGCGTGGTTTACTCATTCTAGCAAACATTTTTGAAAAATGCAGGATTCCCAGAGTCTTCCTGGAAATAATGAGGAAAACCTTGAACCATGCCAACAGAGTAGTTAATACCACTGTTCTATTCCCTGAGTTTAGCAGATCTGCACAACCAAAAAATTTTGTTCTTGAGCCTTTGTGAGCGCACAGACTCAGGGAAACCGGAAACTAATAGAAGAATCCTTGAAGTGCCTTCAGGATGAATATAATATTCAGAGTCACTGAGCGCCTCACTTCCTCCTCCGGTCTCACCTCCCTCCGCTCCCTGCATTCCCCACAGCTGGCGCTGGGAACCGCGAGGGGCTGCGAGCGAGCGCGGGCGGGGGCGGCCGCCCTCCATCGCAGCGAGAGGCCGGAGCCGGTAGGCGGGTGGAGATGAGGCAAGGCTAGACAGCCAGCGCGAGCGAAGAGCTCTGCTGGGATCACAGCTTTCCTGCTGGACCCATCAACTCAGACTCACGTGTAGATCGGAAGGATCAAACCAAGGCTACGCAACCAGCTGCGCCCACTGAGCGCCGCCCAGATGTGCCCGGAGCGGCAGGTGAGTCACCGCGCCCTCCTCCCCTCCCCCTCCCCGTGTCCAACAGGTTGGCCGGGGCGCGACTCCAAGGGGCCCCGTGGGTGCACTTGTAGCCTCACCTGGGCGTGGCGCTCGGCGTCTCTCTTTGCCGAGTCGTCGTTACTATTTAAACTCCTGCCCCAGCCCACGCCTGTTCCAGTCCTTGTCTTTTGCCTTCCCTTCTCCTAAAATGACAGCACCGCTGTGTGCCGAGGAATGCGCCCAGCACACTTGCTCTCCTGGAAACTTGTAGGGAGAGAAACCGCTAAACCCAAGGGCGCAAAGTGCCTCGACAAGTGACGGGAGCTGGCAATGGTGACCCCTAGTTCTCAGCGACTCCCTAGGACTTAATTAAAAATCATCATAAATTATCTTTATTCCTCAACTAGGAAGTCAAAAACTAGAGGAGGAGAGAGAAGAAAAGGAGCGTGAGTGACAGACTAGAATGAGAGTGAATGGGAGCAAACGACGCGGCCCCCGCGCCAGGTCACCCTGCCCCACGTGCGCACACCCCCAGAGAACACTCCCGGGGAGGCCTGTGAAGCAGCCGCAGTAAAAGAGGGAGGAATACATATCCTGAAGTTGGAAAAGACTCAGCCCTGGTTACCATGTCCCTTGCTTTCTGAACTTTTCGTTTTGGTCTTCTGCGGGTAGGAGTTTTTCTTGCCATCCCCCTCACTTGAATTCCTCCAAAACTCATCCTGCCCTCCTCCTCCACTGTAGACCTCCCTCCTGCTTCCCTTTCCCACCCGCTCCCACCCCCAAGCAGCGAGGCTTTCAATCCGTACACCTCCCGGGTTGGAGATCTCAGTTACAAAGTTGGGGAGGGGGTACTGAGTCCGGGAAGGACCACGGCGACCGGCAGGGTGCCCTGCGGCTGTCCTTGGCTTGGTCCACACCTGAGTAGTTCCCTGGGTGCGACCCCTCCTCTCCTCCCAGCGTCGGCGCTCAGACATTTGTGCGCTGCTGCCGCGCATTCGCAGCTCCCTAGCGGCTAGAGGGGGAACCAGCACAGGGGATGGAGAGAGTAAGGTTGCGCGAGTGGGAGGAACCCACCTCGGTAGCCCGGGAAATCCCGTCCGTGCCACCGCCCCCAACTTTGTGGCGCCCTCAAGCAGCGGCTGCAAGGATGGAGCTGCCTCCCCGCGGCCGGGCGCCTCTGGACTCGCCGGTGGACAGCGCCTCCCTGACCTCACTGGAATCCAGCGTCTTCTGTAGCGAGGGCGAAGGGGAGCCCCTGGCTCTCGGGGACAGTTTCACGGTCAACGTGGGTGGCAGCCGCTTCGTGCTCTCGCAGCAGGCGCTGTCCTGCTTCCCGCACACGCGCCTTGGCAAGCTAGCCGTGGTGGTGGCCTCGTGCCGGCGCCCCGGGTCCCTGGCCGCCGTGCCCAGCCCCCTGGAGCTCTGTGACGACGCCAATCCCGTGGACAACGAGTACTTCTTCGACCGGAGCTCGCAAGCATTCCGCTACGTCCTGCACTACTATCGCACCGGCCGCCTGCATGTCATGGAGCAGCTGTGCGCGCTCTCCTTCCTCCAGGAGATCCAGTACTGGGGCATCGACGAGCTCAGCATTGACTCCTGCTGCAGGGACAGGTACCCGCGAGGCGCACAGTGGCTGGGCGGGGAGGCGGGCGCATTGGACAGAGGGTGGCAGAGGTGAAGATCTAAGGCTTTACAGCAGCCTCCTTGAACCCAGGCCTAAGAATACCTGTGGCCACTTCGGAGGTAGAAGGCAGGGAGGCGGGGGGGAGGGGGGGGGCGAGAAGGTGGGCTGGAAAGGATCAAAGCCAACTTTTGATTGGAACTTTTTGAACCTTTTCCTTTTTCTAGTGAATGTGTACTAATTCATTTATTAGTCAAGAGCCGTCAGGCCTGCAGTAAATATTTGGGAATTGAATAAATGAGTCAGAAAAGTTATGCTCCCCCAAAAATGCATGTATGTTTCAGTATAGTGGGTCATCGTTTATCAAACCTGGACACTAACTTGTAAAACTTGAATGGAGAACTGCTTTAAGTACAGAAGATAGAAAGTTGGTTCCTTGCCTGTGAATGATTGTGGGACTCTGGTGATCTATTATCTTTCTATTACTTTGCTATTATCTTGCTATTACTACCGTTTCTTTCCATTACACACACACACAAAGTTTCATATGGCAAACTTCTTGTTACAAGAAATTGGATAATAAAATGCATTAATCTAATGTAGTTTTGCTATGTGTATAAACTTCTACCAAGAAAGTGCCATTTTAAAAACAATAATCCTAAATTAGAAAATATGAGTACTGTAGGAAGACAGCCTGGGTAAAACATAAATGAATATTTCCTGCATTTTTCTGAAATAAAAAGCATGACTTCATTGCCAAGTTTAATTCTCTTTTTACTTCTGTATTTTTAAAAAGTTAGACTAATCACCAAGTTGTCTTCTCTAAAAGATACTTTCGAAGAAAGGAGCTGAGTGAAACTTTAGACTTTAAGAAGGACACAGAAGACCAGGAAAGTCAACATGAGAGCGAACAGGACTTTTCACAAGGACCTTGCCCCACTGTCCGCCAGAAGCTCTGGAACATTCTGGAGAAGCCTGGGTCTTCCACCGCTGCCCGAATCTTTGGCGTCATCTCGATCATCTTCGTGGCAGTGTCCATCGTCAACATGGCCCTGATGTCAGCCGAGTTAAGCTGGCTGGACCTGCAGCTGCTGGAAATCCTGGAGTATGTGTGCATTAGCTGGTTCACCGGGGAGTTTGTCCTGCGCTTCCTGTGCGTGCGGGACAGGTGCCGCTTCCTGAGAAAGGTGCCAAACATCATAGACCTCCTTGCCATCTTGCCCTTCTACATCACTCTTCTGGTAGAAAGCCTGAGTGGGAGCCAGACTACACAGGAGCTGGAAAACGTGGGGCGCATCGTCCAGGTTTTGAGGCTGCTCAGGGCTCTGCGCATGCTCAAACTGGGCAGGCATTCCACAGGTATTCAGATTTCATTGATGCCTTTTAATTTGCCATTGTTTGTAAGTATTAGTGCTTTGACCACAGTCCAAGGGAAGCGACTCTGAATTGATACTCAAAATTACCAACTCCTACACTTTACCTAACCGTGATCCCCAAAAAGGTATTGAGAAGCCAGACCTTGAGGTTATTATGACAGGTATAGAGGAGAAGATGCCTCTCGCACACTTTCTCTCCTTAAGACATTTGAGAGACAATCTGACCATTTGTTAACTTCAATTTATTTTAACCCAAGTGCCCAGAAGATGTACAAAAATTAAAGACATTCTGCTTCTGATAGTTTCTACATAAAATATGCATAAACAGCACATAAAAAGGTATGCATAAATTATATATGATATGTAGGACATAAGCCAGTTTCTTTTCTGTGTCCAAGGAAATGCTTATCGCTCATGTTCCTTGGAAGAAGAGAAAGTCCTCCAGAGCCTTCTCTGGCTATGCAGAAAGAGAGATGACCAGGCACTGGTGGACCTTACCATAATTTTTGAAGAAACAATGGAAATATTTGCTTTGGAGGAAACCAAAAGACACCAATTAAATGCTTTGTTGAGTATCTGAGAATTTTCTTGTCCCCAGTTGGGGATGCATGAGAGAGATGGTAACAGGAATTCCTTAGCTTTTTATGTGTATCACAAAGCCTTGAAAATCTAAAGAACATTCTCTCTAGAAAAATCTCGACACAACGCACGCACACACAACTGTACATGAAAATTATAGTCAGTGTCAGAGGAAATTACACAAAACCATTAAAGATGATCCTTGCATCCCTGAGGGCAGGGATTCTCCGTGGCTGGCCCAGCTGGCTGTTGGATATTCTGGAGCACATATGTGTTGCCTTATGTTAGGCTTTAATGAAAATAAGAATCCCTTGAAAAGCTTGTTAAAATGCAAATTCTGAGCCCCAGATTTCAGAGAGTCAGATGTTAGTATTTGGGGGTGGATCCATGATTTTGATGTAGGTGGTTCTTGGACCACACTTTGAGAAGCACTGAAGTAGGATACCATATTAAAACAATACATATAAATACAAATAATTTGACCAGAGAGTCCTATTCCCACCTTATTTCCCTCAATATATGCCTGACTGGTCACCTGAAAGGAGTTGATGGTCTCTCTCTATAAATATAGGGAGAAATTAACCTTAGATAGGTTTCTTCCCCCACATCCTTGAGGAAATTAGGACTTACCCTAATGTAACTTCGGTAGTGTGTTTTCCTAGCTAGTCTCACATACCAGGGACTTGATAATGGGGTTTCCAACAACTTTTCGAAGTACCACTCTTTGTTTTCTGACACACATAATGGGATGCTTTCTTCTAGTATTTATAAACTCTTCACAGGATTCAATTTAAAAACACCCAGTAAAGACTGCATTTTTTCCCCAAAAGAAAGGAAAAAGAAAATAATAGTAATCTCCACTATGTCACCTCTTCAACGGTTTTCTCAGTTCTAAGGCAAGTAGAAAGCATTAATATATCCTTAATTTATTGAAAAGATATGAACACTGGCATAAATATTGACAATTTGATCTTAAGCATTACAGTTAGCAAAACAGAGACATAGACCACATATTTCCTTATATATTAACTATGAACAAAAATTGAGAAATGTTATAGAATAATGGTTAGGAAGATAACAGTGGACCAGAGAGCCTAGATTTAAGTCTTGGCTATGTAACTTGGTCCTAGATATGCTACCTCTCTGTGCTTCGATCTGCTCACCTGTAAAACGGTACAGTAATTACAACATTTATCTCATATTATTTTTAGGATTATCTGCATTAATTGATGTAACATGTCAAAATTCAGGCCACTTTGTTTCCTTACAAAATGAAAACGTTTAGAACATTGAAATGAAAACAATCTTCCCAAACGCTATGCATATCTTCATATATTGTCAATTTATCTCAGAAATGCAATTCAGTACAGATACATTTTTTAAGCTTAAAACTCAAAATTATATTCATTGGCCTTTTAAAATAGCTGGTTAATAATTCAAGAATATCTCAACATTTTAGGCACAAAATTCAAAATAATGAGAGCAAATATAGATTTTAATGTATTTC